CAAAAATAACGGATGGTTAAATCAAACAAAAACAAGAAATTCAGAACAATAAAATCATTACAGCTGTTTTGCCAGCACGTCGGTCAAATTTCATAATACTGACACATGGAGATAAAAAAGGAACTTCAAGACATTAAGCCATCTTGTAGAAAAGGATAAACTGAACAATTCTGAAAATGTTCAGGTTACAAAATTTCATTCCAAACAAACCAGATTGTAAAAGTCTTGCATCATGCCACATTCATGCCTAGGCTGCATGCAGTTGTATATATGGCATGCAACTAATCTCGCAGAGGTGTTCATGCAGCTTGCTAACAGAAGCGCAATTAAATTTCTTATGCACTTCTTTCTCTGTCAGTACAAGTCTCCAAATCTCTTTTATAAGTAGTGTTTAGAAAAAATTTATAATAATTTGCTTACAAAAAAACAAAGTATAAAAATGACAAATGAACACATTATTGGTGCCTACCTAGTTGCATTTACTAATTGGGTTGAAGGTAAATTATGTATTACTAAGTACCAGTTCACACCATGCATTTTGCTTCAAGAGGCTATTGGCAGCATATACTAATACCATAAAATATGTTCATGCAAGTCTATGCCTATTATTGTAATTAAAATTATGTTGGAAAAATTACATTGGTATACATTAAACCAAATCAAATTTTGACACAGCATTTTGCAAATGTTGGGGTGGATATTTTCTCCATTTCTCATAGGGAGCAGACGCACCTTCTACATAAAACCCTGTAGCATCCGCATTTACTATACACTAAAATGGTCTAAAAGTATAATAAAAAATTTTTTTTAAATTAATCTTTGAACAGAGTTTCTGTGCATCTACAGCCACATACCTACTAGTCACAATTAAATTCAACCGAGTGGAAGTGGGATTTATAAAAAAATTATAATCTTATATTGGAATACATGGTCATGGCTGGGCACGCATGGGAGTGTCCTGTGTCATCTGGCATGTGAGCCTACCGTAAAATACTGAGCAAGTGCCCACCCAAAATTTTGAGATAAATAGAAAAACTGGAGGATAGGCACTTGTTAGGTTCAAGGGCAAAAATGCAGAAAGGGCACATAATGGGATGGGCTTCACTGCTTTGCGGCTGATAAGCAGGAGCGTCCCAATTAGCTATGGCCAGTGACAGGTTAAGAAAGTGAGATAAGCTCCTCCCATCAAGCCCCCCCCCCCCCTCTTTCCTCTTTAGCAGAGCAAACACAGGAGAGGAGGTGAGGATTGAACTGCCTCCTCTCCAACATCCACGCTGCTAAAGTCGAGAAAGTGGACGGATCCGTGGGAGGAGCTTTCACTGCACCCTTGACCCGACACCGACTATAGTTGGGCTCAAAAGTCAGCGGTGGGCACTTGATATGTCCTTTGCTTGGTTTTCAAACATTTCAAAAGTAGCTAATGGATGCTTATTGCGACACATGCAGGGTATTTTTTGGTATGTCTAGCTCTGAAGCATCCTTGTGAAGCGGACTACGAGTACTAGAAAGCAAGAGCTTTGTTACATAAAAAGGCATTTTGGGAAACGGACTGCAAATACTCCACAATGTCAAAGAGCGCCTAGCCTACATGTCTTTCAACACTTTTATGTTCCAATATCAAAGAATGCAACTGTATGTCTTAAAAGGACAGGTTGGACAGATCATTCTAGCTGTATCTGGGCTTCCTGCCCTGAGCAGCACTCTTCAGTAGAATAAAGCTGCAGAAAGGACGGCGACAGTACTGGTCCTGCAGTCCTAAGATGATTGTCAGACATGGATTCCAGGTCACAAAAAGCAAACATACTAACTGGGCAAGAGAGAGCAGCTAACCAATTTTCGAAAACTATTTTGACCCATTTCGTGGCACAAGAAATACTCCGAATTGCAAGATGATACATTAGAGATCTGATGAGTAACAATTTGGACAAAGAAATCCCAGCATCTTAACTTTTTCCTTTCTCGGTAGACAACAATGGTGTAACAGTTTCCCACATGTTTTAAAGGCTGCGGGGCTGATGACAACATATTTCTCCACTAATCTAGCCCGACTGATTACTTGCTCAGACAGAGCAGCATTGGTGGTATCAACATGTGAACACTGTGCTATGTCATCTTCATAAGTAATACTCTTCAAAGTTATGCATGTTTACAGTGGTGTCACATGCCTTTATGCCGCATTGGATCCCTGAAAGGTGCAACTACCTATTTCACCCTTTCACTATTAAAGGTGGTCAGTCTCCTTGAGACTACAAGAAATGAATAAGTATGGTGGCCCTGATGTAGCTACGTGCAACATAATCACCTGGACTACATCAAAGTTTAAAATCAATGGCTACTTCAATTTTAATGGTCCTTCCTACCTGTCTATTACCAATGGGTGTTTGTTAGTGCTGTGCGAATATTTGAAAAGTAGTTTTGAATAACAATCTATTCGTTATTCGCCTCAAGATGAACTGCAATTGTTCTATATTTTTTTTAAAATGTTGATAGCAGCGAGTTAAGTTCTGTTCAGCATGCTTCTTAGCGTGCACGAATACACTGCAGAGAAGCAATACTCGCAGAATTGACCTCCACGGGTGTTGCTTCTCGACAGTGCACTGGTGCTTGGCAAAAGCATACTTGACTAAGTAACCAGCTGCGATCAACACTTGGAAAAGTATGAATATTGCAGTTCTGTGCTTGGGAGAAAAGAACACTCTCAAAGCGGAATAGTGCATGTGCGCACACAGTGTAATTTAAAACAAAGCGAATTTGTGAATGTTGATATCTACATTGCAGCAAAAATTTTCAAAATTAAGCTGCGAGTGTTGTGCATGAGTATATGTTAGGCAGAGATGCTCTGACAACCTGTGTCCGTCATTCGCAATTTCTTTTTTTTTTAGAGCGCAGCTCTTAGGGGCCCGTTCCCGGCTTGAGCGGCGTCGCCGTCGCCGTCGGCGTAACCAAGGTCATCCTAAGGTCACGTGACCCCTCCCAAGGTCATCTCAAGGTCACGTGACCCCACGTGACTCCCAAGGTCACATGACCCCTCGAGGTCACGTGACCCCTCCCAAGGTCATGTGACCCCAAGACCCCACGTGACCCTTTGAAGGTCACGTGACCCCCGAGGTCACGTGGTCTCCTCCCCAAGGTCACGTGACCCCCCTCCCCGAAGTCACGTGACACCCCCCCCCCCCCCCCCCCCCCGAGGTCACGTGACCGCCCCCCCCGGAGCATATTAAAGAATGAGGGGAGGAGGAGGGGTCTACCCTCCCCTCAGTACCCTCCACTCCTCCTCCTCAAGAGCTGCGCTCCAATTCGGCGTTACAGGGATTTGTAAACGGCTTTCACTTTTTTTTTACGGCAAAATTGAGGATTTTTTGCATATAGCAAGATTTGTAAATCCACTCAATGAGGTATAGCTGGGCATCTTTATCGGCGTAATTTTATGCCAAATCAGTCGTTCACTTGCCATCTCAAGGCATCAAATTTTCTGAGGTCACAGTTTATAAGTATAGTTAGATTAAAATTAGCTTATAAAGAAAGAAGTGTAAGCTTGGGAACAACATTTACAAGTTTAGCTGGGTTTGCAATTAAGCATGGTGCAACAGCAGTGAAAGGCTTGGAAAAACTATTCGGTGTTCAACTAAAAATATTCTGCCAAAACCACTATTCGATTCGCCTTGAACTCAAAATCTACTATTTGCACAAGACTATAGTCGCTGACAGGTCAAGAACGAAATAAAAGCTCCTCCCACCCCTTCCCATTTCAGCGGAGCGAACAGTGAAGAGGAGGTCGCTTCCTCTCCCACGTTCGCTCTACTAAAGTGGAAGGAGGTGGGAGGAGCTTCCACTTCGTTCTTGACCTGTCACCGACTATAGTGTCTGTAAACAAACAAGCTTGCTACCATCACTATACTTCGTTTCACCTTACGATGAATGGCAGTGGATGCTACAAGCCACTGGAGCCAATCCAATGCTGTGCGAGTGCCACATTACCTTTGGGAGCAACGCAGTGACACACGGGGCACATAGTCATGTGACAAATTAACAGCGCTGAATTGGTTGAGGTGTTTCAGAATGTCCGCTGTGGGCCATTGTAAGGCAATACAGAGTATATCGGCAGACCCTGCACACTTATGGTTTTCTTCTTTTGTGGAATATAACGCTCGAAATGCAAACCTGCTCTCACAAACACACTGCAGTTACTCGTACCTTGAACAAATATTGTCTTTCACGGTGACTGTGTGCTGGAAACTTGCAAATAAACACACTATCTGAGGTTTGCTGCAACAGATAATACAGTGACGCCCTTGTGCTATCAATTCCAGCTGCATATGGTGAATAGTAGTAATAAAGGCACGCGGTCAAAAAAGATACTACAAACAAAGTATAACTGCGTCTAGAGTAAATCGTTCCTAGCACCGAGGCAGCGGTATGCTCAGAACGTAACTAGAACAACTGGTTCGACTACAAGTGGAGGTGACAATGCATCTACAGGGACGACCAAGGTATTACACATGTTAGGGTCGCCCGGAATGCACAGCCTAAGAGTACAAGTGCAATGCCATTACTAGTGCAGTCAAGAGGTGCACAAGCTTAGGACCGTTTATATACCATCAGATCAGAAGGCAAGTAGTGTCACTTTGTGAAGGGCAAGTAGAGAGGAGGAAATAATTGGAAGTTTAAAGCATCTGCAAGGAAACAAGTTTCGTTCGTCACAGAAAGCTTAGCAGAGGTTGTCTTCAACGGGTCACAAACAACAAAAAGCAGAACAAAATGCCTCTTCTTAAGAAAAAGGCAGAACACAGGGCTGCATGCAAGTTTTGGAACCACAAAATGAAGCTGCTTGTTTACAAAAAAAAGAAAAAGATGATTCAATTGATTTCCTTTTTTTTTTTGTCCCTATTTGGCACTAGACAAAAGGAGGGCATCTGGCAGCAAGGCATATAGCAAAGAACTGATTGCGTTTAGAAAATCCAGGCAACAGTTAGGGGTCGAGTTTGATAACAAAATGATTTCAGTAAAATGGGGGCGCATGTTTAAATAATTAAGGGAGGCCACTGATAACCACGAAAGAAAAAAAGCATTGAGCCCCATTTGGCGATACACCTACATAAAATAAAGACCGTCCGGCGGTATAAAATGACCCCAATGTTGCGTTAAACCTTTTCATCTGCAGTCTGTCTCAAGTTCCCCCATCACATGTGGCTAAACCTCATTCATAGCACAAAAATAAAAATAAATAATTCAAACAAAAATGAACACGACATTACCTTTGGCCTGGACATCAACCAACAAATGCATGCTCCAACAATGCAATAAAAAACAAACAGACCTACGTGTTGTAAGAACTCACAAAAAAAAATGGTAACACGTCGGTCGTTAGTTTACTGAACTGCATTTTTTTTTCATGTTCCCAGTTACAATGAGACGGGCAGCGAAAAAAGCAGCAGTCACACAAACAGAAGCTGAGGAGAACCCAGGCGGTTTGAAAGCCAAACGAAAACAGAATGCATACATACACATCTCAATGCCCTCCAATAAGCTGCAATATCCACTGCAGGTCTGTTCCACGGATGGAAAATGGACACATTGGAGGAGAGGTTCAGGGGAAAGCCATAATAAGACATTGCAGGGGCTTGGAGAGGGGCCAGGCACTCGCAGCAGCACACTTGACGGCAAAGCTACGTGCAGTCACTCTGCCTGCCCGTTTCCTCAAAACGCTCTCGAAGGGGCTCTCGTTTCCGGCGTCTGCACTCCCGGCGTCACATAACAGCGAAGATGTGTCTGTCTGGTATGCTCCCAGCTTGCACGCTCAGCTGAAACATGTGCTTCGCTTCACACAGTGTTGTGCAAACTAACCTTATGAGTGCCAGGCCAGAGAAAGGTGACCTCATTAAACACAGCTGACAGAGATAAGATAGCACTGGCTTCGTCCCTTGACGAGGGGGCAGTATGGGACTACAGGAGAACATGCTTGGCTTGCTCATGCATTTTCGCAGTGTTTTCTTCTTTTTTTTTTCTTTGTTTTCTCCGCTAAGGAACTTAAAGTGGGTGGGTTGTGACACTCGAGTCCTACAAGAGTTAATAAAAAAAAAATTAAAAAATGATTTTACCGGATAACAATGTTAATCTGTCAAAAATTTGCTTGCGTTGGGAACCTAAACTACAACAAAGGCTACTAGCAGCTACAAGACATGCGGGGATGATAGGTTGCGAGGAAGTTCACTCTCAACCACAACGTAATTTCAGCAGCCTTCATTTTACTTTTTCTCCTTCTTCTGTAGTTGCTAGTCTAAGGTCATATAGGTGGAAAACCTGGCGAGAAATACCTTTTCGATCTTGCTTCTGTTAAAGTAACAGCCATCATCGCCGATATAAAATAATGGTTGACTGGTCAGGCCCAAGTACCCTTGTTCCAGTTCATTATAGGACATGGTCAGTCATCGCCTACAACGTGGAAACAAAAGTGAAAGTTACACTGACGCTCGCACTCTACGACGGGCGTCATGAAAGTCGATCGTTCACAAAAAGACGAATGTGAGCGTCACACAATACCTCTTTTAATCCAGCCACTTAGCGTAACGCCGGCACACCTTCCGAGTGGCTTTCAAGTGTTGTTGCATATCGCGATTCTTCGAGGTGTTTATGAGTGATGCGATCACAGTTCCTTGGTGCTTAAGCAGTTTGTTCTTCAACGATGACGAGGTTTGCTATCTGCTGTAAGCTTCCTTTCTGTGCTGTATGTAACCGTAGGAGGAATGGAAAAGGAGAGTGGGGGACAACCAAGCGTTACCAATTCAGATAAAATAGAAACTCATTCCAAACGTCCCGGTAATGTTACACGCAAAGCTACAAACAAAAGAGCACTAGGTTACAGTCTTCAACGTCAAATACGAAAGAAAAACATCGCGGAAGGGACCCTACTTGTCTACAAAACACCACCAATACCGCATTGCGCAAACACGAAAAGTGACCCTCAAAAGGCAGCGTTGCCAGATCATACGGGGAAAATGGCTAAAGGTTACAAAATCTTAAGAAAGGTGCTAAAAGTGTCTAAATTTCGTCATATCGCTTTGGAATATATTTTAGAGGTATTTTCTACTCCCAAAGAGTTAACTAAACTGATTTACAGGTTTTAAATTCACGACTTTCGGAAGAACTGGTGCCCCCTGCCGGAGACTTGGTTCGAAGGCGCCGAAATCAAAGAGGGATTCGAATAGCGCGTTTGCTTGTTCTTGGGGACGAAAAATAATCCACAAGGGGCAACAAAAGCGATGTTTCTGGAACTCACTCTAGAATGGAGCAAACCAGAGATTAACCCCTTTCTACGTCATAACATGGCGTCTCTTCCCAGTCCAAACAAACCGTTTCAGCTTCGGTCCAGACGCAGCCAAAGCTACAAGCGCGAGCTCCGGGCTTTCAGCATCCCTGCCAAGCACGCGCGCTCGTGCAGTGTAAGCACTGTTCTGGGCCGCATGCTCGCGCTTGTAGCATCAACTGCGTCTGGACCGAAGCTGAAACGAAGTATAGGGGCGTTGCTATGGGCTAATACATGGAAACTCCACATGAGGCTAGATTTTTGCTTACAAGTAATGAACAATTCGTCTGGGCCCGCATCGCAACGGTGCAGTGCGGTTCGTGATACACGGAAGGCTAACGTCTTGATATCTATTTATGAAGATGTTCTTGTCGTCTCAGCGTCGTATTGCAACGATGAAAGCCATTTCTGAAGTATTACACTTCGCTTTGCTTTGGTAGCAGACGACACGATAGATTTGCTGGCCTCTGTTGCAGCGGCCAGCAAATTACAGATCGAACCCGCGATGCGAGTGCAATCTGTAATAAAGTCACCTTATGTTTTTTTATCCAGTTCTTTCGCGCTTTGGGGTCTTGCGGAAATCTGAAGAAACTGCAAGAATCTTTCTCCACGCGATGGTTACAACCAGGTACGAAGCACCCTCCCATAGTGCGAGTTCGCAAACAAAATTTGGGATCTCAACCGATCGCCTGAAGTGCTTTTCTCGTGGGTTCAACGCGATCTTTTAGCAGACGATCATCTCGATCGACGCCCGGACTTTCGATAAACCATTGCATCGCACCCCACTATGAATTCCTATAAGTGCCTGAAACTCATCATATTTCAAACAAATGCAATATCAGAATATCGTCTTTATTCACACGATTCAGACGCCGGCGCCGTCTTGGCCGGTGGGCGTGTGACAGGACGGCATGCTACATGCATTTGTCGTCTGCTGCAGGCAACTTGAGAACCGGAAGTTACAGTCGTCAGAAACAAGCGATTACAGGTGTAGGACGCCGATCTCACTACCCCTCCGCTCCGACTACGGTAGTGGTTTTGGCGTACGCCAAAATCAATACCGTAGTCATTTCGGCGTACGCCATAGTCAACACCGTAGTCTTTTTCGCATACCCCAAACACACTACCCATACGCCAAATTCAATACCTTGAATAACGTCGGCTGAGCAGGGGTTGAGTAAAGCCCCTCGATGTGTTTGTGTCTGTCTAGCAAGTAGCGTCAAATGCGCGAGTACACGAGACCCACGTCTCGAGCAGCCCTTGGAAGCGAATGGCGGCGCAGCACTGAAATGAGCGGCCCTAGGAAGCGAATGGCGGCGGAGCACCCGCTCGTGGCACGTGTCTCGCGCGCTTCCCCAACAATGGTTGGCGGTACTTGTAAAAAACGCCTTTATCAAACGAGCGTTTCGCCGCAGTAAGGTTGCAACGCCTATTGGCTGAGAGAAAAAAGCAAAAACAAGCAAAACAACACAAATCGGAAGTGACGAAAGTTTTTGTTTTGTTTGTTTTTGCTTGTTTCAATTTTATTTTTTGTTTTTACTTTTTGTTTTTCCAAGTGTTAGTTGGGTGCTCTTTGGAGCGGTCGCGTCGGTTCCAACGGTCTTTCTTGTATTATACGTTGTCGTGTTATGTGCCGCCGTATTGCCGAGTGGAGTTGGTCGTGATATTCAATGCTTGGGAACGAATCGGCAGTAAAGTTCACAGCGCATTCATGCAAGCTAGCAGGCCCCGTCTCGCCACATGGAGGCCCGTGGGACGCTTGTTCGGAACGTAAAAGGTGAGTGGAATTTACCTACTCTGGTGGCGTTCGATCGTCGATGCGACACCTCAGTGGTGGAATTTGATAGCGCTTGGCTACCTCACGTAGCGTCGGGGACAAAGAAGATAGTAGAGATAATCAACGGGAGTGACATGTGGCTCCCGGGTGCCGCCTGCGCCGCATTTGCATTCAGTAATCGCACTTAAAGAAGGACCAAGCGCGTTGGGAATGTCGGCTTTTGACGAGCTCGTGCAGTCACAAAAGCGTTCTGTCGAAAGACCGGATTTACAAACAGGTCAGGCTTCGCCAATGGCACTCCCGGCGCGTCGAATTTGTGGCGGGTAATAATGTTACTGTTCATCCTGGTAGGCCTGCGATGGTGTTTTCTGCACAAATGCTGTATTCTGCCTCGTGGTACATTCACACCTGCAGCAGAACTGCTAAGCGATTCTGCTACAGGTTAATCGCGAAGAGTTGTGCTCTTCCATAATGTGCATGTTAAAGTAACAACAAATAGGTGCCTCTCTGTTCTACTTCTTCTTTGGTATTCAACTGGTTGTATTTTCTACTACATTTTGTTCAGACAGCCACTGCGAGACAGGCATTATACTATACTATCCAAAATAATGCTTGAGCATGAGACGAGGTAACAGAAATACTTCTATATGTGCCTGCTTTTTGTGTTTTTGCAAGACAAGGTTTTATGTGCCTGCTTTTTATGTTTTTGCAATTCACTGGCTAGACCACTCTTCTCATGGTTATTGTTTTGTTGGGTGCAAAATTTTCCACCCCAGGTGTCTGATGCTTGCGGCTGATGGCTTCTACCTACGTGCATCAAACAGCGGGCCTGCACCTTCGCCGAGACAGCAGTAAAACAGTTCTGGGTAACTGCAGCGACTGGGTCACCGATGCCGTTCCACTTCCTGCACTGCACTCCGCGTGGGTCAAAGGGCCAGCGCATGCCTTTTATCGGTTGTCGCCAGCCATAGTGAGTATGGCTTGGAGTCACGTCATGCGAGTGAAATGCTTGTCACCCGAGTGACGTCAGTGGGGGGGGTTGCCGCCGCCGCCGTTGGTGGGGCTATGATGGTGGTCTGCGATCACAGACCACCAAGCACCATTGCACTGTTCCTGGATGAACTGGCCGCTCTTGAGGAAGAACAGGGTGCTTTGGGAAGAGCTATGGCGTTCGCTTTTTCACTAGCTCCAGCTGTCGCCACAGACATTTTGTCGAAAGGAGCAACATCTATGAATGAGTAGACGGCGCTGAATGGCCGCAAGGGGCCTCGCTTCTGATCGAGGGGGTCAAGATAGTTCTGTTTCAACAGAGGTACCTCTTGGGGTATTGTACAACACAGGAAATAAAGGGCCCGAAAGTTTTCTACCTCGACGAGGTGTGGGTTATGGCAGGACCAATTTTCTCAAAGGTGCGAGTAGACACAAATGCGGCTTTGTTCCGTGGACACCTTCATGTTTGGTGGCACGAGGCAGTCATTGCTTAACCCTGCTTAAAGATCAACGACTGGACTGGTCAAGGGTGGCATGCCTGAGAGTGGGACAGTAGACGGCTGTTATATACCAACTTTAGACTTCATTCACCCCTTAACTGACAGGGCACTGAAGGCTACATGCTCGGTGAACCAGCCGATTGTCAGTCTTGCATCACTTATCACGCCCCTTTCTCATGCAGATGTGCAGGTCGGACATGAGGCAATAATAGCTTGGCCCACCAACCACATGGCTTCTACCGCCCTGTCAGCGTAGGGGTGAATGGAGCGTAGGGGCGGCAGAGTTGGTGGGGTCTGCTGAGTGCTTCTGGCATAGCAGTTCGGCAGTGGCGAGTTACTAGAGCACAAAATGCAATACCGCACTTTACTCTGAATGTTGCGAGCCATCGGAGCCAATCCAGTGCCGAAGGTGCGTCACGTGGCCTGTCCGTTGGGCACAACGGCACGTCGAGCACAGTGTCATCTAACTGCGACAAAGAGTTGGATTGGCTCCGGTGGCTCGTATCGTCGGCTGCGGTACAACACAAGGTGAAACGGAGTAGAATGTGATGGCGTGTCGCATCACAGAAGGTGAGCAAAGTAAACAGATAAAAGTTTGATTTTTAGGGTGCCTTTAGAGCGCATCACAGGCGCCCCAGGATGGGCGAGGAAAAACCTCCTCGCCCATCGATATATTGACGGGGGACCGGGGGTAGAAGGGCCTCTGGGGACTGGGCGGTGCCGAGAACAGGCAAGTGTGTGCGACCGGATTTCGGGTAATCGTGGGAGACAAGGCCTGGGGGCCCTCTTTGTGTTTAGCTTTGGCACGTGCGAATATCGGTGTAATGTCGCATGTCTTTGCAGTTTAGACTGAGTGTTTTTGAGCGTTGTGTTTTCGGAACAAATAAAAGGGAGCGGAATTCCCGCTCCCGTGAAAGAACCAGGCTGGACTCTGGTTGTTTGACGGACCACATGGGATCTGGCGTATCGGCGGCAGTGTGCGATTTCCTACGATGTGTCCTTTAAGTTTCATATATTTTGGTCTTGCATTTTAACCACTATTGTATAACTTGTTCACACCATTGTTTAACATGTTTGTTTCCTATGGTTGCATTTACAATTGCACTGTGTAGTGCCCCTGGCTCCGAGGGTAAAATAAAGGAATAGAAACAAACCGATTCTGTAAGCTGCCAAGTTCAATTACAATCTTCTCTTTCTGGATATGTACTGTATAGACTGAGCACCGGGCCTGGACAAGCGTAAGTCCGTTGCCACAGACTAAATGCCAGCAGAGCTGCCGAGCCTCGCTTGTGTTTGGTCCCATGGTGGTGCACAGTAGAGCACTGTGTGGGCCTACTTTTTGAGGCCAATCCCGGGCCTCCTGGCAACCCGTTCTGTTCGTCCTGACAACAAAGTGCGCT